GGTGCCAATAACATCATGATCACAAATGAATAAGTCAGCCTTGGCAGGAGAGAGGGCCACCAAGAAAGCATGAGAATGTAGACATAATTTTAGTTTTATTTAATGACATCTGGGGAGATAATTCCTTTTTTTAAACGTCTTTGTTTTAGCTGCCTTCTCTTTCTATTCCTGCTGTCTTATTCTCCCCATGATAAACTCTTTCTTGTACCTCCATTTTAAGAAAGGGCCCAGACCAGCCATGCTTAACTTTCCAGATTTTGCAACCATGCCCCAGCTCACGTGAATACCTTTCCTCCTTCCATAAAACCCCCTTTTCAGCTCCCCATTATGTGTTATCTACCTCTATTTGAAGGTAAGCTCCTTGAAGGCAACCAGTATAAGTACTGTCTTTCTTTCTGCTTGAATTGTATTTGTATTCCCAGCACAGCACAATGCCTGTCATATAGTAAGAGCTTAATATGTGCTTGTAGACTTGACTTTATCTCTATATCCAATAATAAAGTCTCAAACAGTAAACAGGCATTTTAATGAAGAAAATAAGGGGAAAAAATAAGGGAATTAGACTGATCAGCAATTCTCAAAGTGTGGTCTGGAGTGGGGACACCAAGATACTTTCAGGTGGTCTGAGGGTCAAAACTAACTTCATAATAGTGCTAAGACATTTTAATTTATAATGGATAAATAACAATAGCTATAACCCACATAAACAAAAGATCTTTGGGAGAATCCTCAATAATTTTTAAGAGTGTAAAGAAGTCCTGAGGCCAGAAAGTTTGGAAACCACTGTACTAGATAATCCTCACTGTCCTTTTAACTCTAAATCCTATGTACTCCTACGCTGTCATACTTGCATCATCACTTGTTATTCTCAAATCTATATAACCTATTCTCTGTAATATTTTAGTCTGCCAGAAGGTGTCCCTCTTGACCTGAGAAATTATTCCTTTATTTTTTAAAACTGCAATTAACTGGCAAGAAGACACTTACTGCTTGGAAGGAAAGCTATGGCAAATTTGGATAGCATACTAAAAAGCAGAGACCGTACTTTGCCGACAAAAGTCAGCATAGACAAGGCTGTGGTTTTTCTGGTAGCAACTATAAGGAAAGCTGAGCATTGCAGAATCCGCTTTCAAATTGTGGTGCTAGAGAAGACTTTTGAGAGTCCCTGGGGCAGCAAGGAGATCAAATCAGTTAATACTCAAAGAAATTAATTCAGACTATTCACTGGAAGGTCAAATGCTGAAGCTGAAGCTTAAATACTTTCATCACATAATGAAAACACAGGACTCAATGGAAAAGCCCCTGATATTGGGAAAGATTGAAGGCAAAAGGACAGCAGAGGATGAGATGGATAGATAGTGTCATGGAAGCAATGAATATGAGCTTGGATAGACTTTGAAAGATAGTGGAAGATAGAAAGGACTGGCATGTTATGGTAGATGGGGTCATGAAGAGTTGGACATGACTGAATGACTGAACAACTGGTAAGAATCATCATAGTAACAAGTCAAAAGTCCCTTAGTTGATATTATCACAAATTCATAGGATCATAAAATCCTAGGTTTGGAAGGGACCTTAGAAATCCATTATTCAATAATATTAAGTGACTATTATGTGCAAAGCACTGGGCTAGGCATAAAGAGAAGGTGTCACAAAAATAAATAAAAGTTTAGAATCAAGTAGAGACAGACAGGGACAGATTTACAAAACAGAAGCTATAATTGAAGAAGAGAAATAAGAACAAGGTATTGTGAATGAGATGCTCTCAAAAGTAGGGTAACAGGGGCTAGCATTTCTCTCTCTTTTTAAAAAAATTATTTACAGCATTTCATTAAATATATAAATATAATAAATATGAATAAATAAATATAAATTTAAAAATTTTAATATTCATCAAAAGATTTTTGAGTTCCATATTATTTACCTTCCTTCCACCCTCCCCTTCCTTGAGAAGGCAATTTGATATCAATTAAGGGGTTAGCATTTCAATTAAATTGTGTTCTAATATATTTAAAATAGAATTACATTTGTAAACATATTAGACCAGTTGTAGCATGTTATAGTGGAAAGATAACTGTAACTATAGCCCTGGGTTCTAAGTCCAGCTCTGCCACTGGTGGACCTTGTTGACCTTGGTTACAACCCTTACCTCAATTGCTTCATAATGAGGATGATAATACTTGTCTCATCTATATTTAAATATGGGGGTTCCATCCTTCCCTAATTAATCATAGAAGGTCTACACAGCTTGATCAGATCAGACAAAAAAGTGTAAGCTAGGTGTGAACAAGTACTTAATCAATTTAAAAGGATTGAAGTTCTGTGATCATTGGATGAAGATGGATGATAGGCACACGGGAAACAACTCCTTATTGACTGAGATCAAGAACCACTTCTTGGGCTACAGTATAGAGTCATTCTTATCACTCCACCTCAATAAACTCCAGGAGCTCCTTATTACCTACAGGATGCAATATCAAATCCTCTTTTTTTACTTCAAAAGCCCTCCATCACCTGACCCCTTCCTTTCTAGTCTCTCTCTCTCTTACACACACACACACACACACACACACACACACAGAGCACATCCAGTGACCCTTGCCATCTTGCTGTTCCTCAAATAAAACTCTCCATTTCTGAACTTTACATTTTCACTGCCTGGAATGCTCTCCCTCCATATCTCCACCTCAGGGCTTCCCTTCTGTCTCAGCTAAAATCCCACTATCTGTGAGAAGCCTTCTCCTATTCTCCTTAATGCTAGTGCCTTCCCCTTAAGATTATTTCCAATTTTATATATATATATAATGTACATAGTTGCTTGCATGTAGCTATTTTTGCCTTTCTTCACATCTCCAGCACTTAGGGGTATGTAGGGATAACATGTGGCAAGGGGTGATTAGGGGTCTCACAAATCCTAGCATTGGGCATCCTTTTCTCCCTTTGTGTAGTCTTCACAAAGGTGTAATGTGGCATAATTTACAAAGCTTTGATTACATGTTCATACACAGTTCATTCACACATTCTTTCAAATACAGGGCTCAGATTGTCCTCAGGCTGCCTCTGTAAGAGTCCATAACCAGCATTTCTCTCTATTTCAAGGGGTCATAGTGACTGAAATTGCTTCCTTCCTTGAGTGGATATTCTTCGGTATCTGTCTGTGTCAATGTTTGTCCTCAGTTTGTCCTCAGTATGGCCCTTTGTTGTTATATTGCTGTCTTCTACAGTTCTAGGCTCTCCAATAATGTGGTCAATGGAGAAAGAGTGGGAGATAGAAGAGAGAGAAACTCTCTCCACCCTCCCAAGAATCTAAGAGCATTTCTCTCTGAGAGGCCTGACCCTGGAGGTCACTTGCCTATGGCCACTTCAATATTTGCCTCACTGCTCTTTTATGCTTCACCAATCAATCACAAGATGTTTTCTGTGTAGTTCTTCATTCAATGATCAATAATAATAACTGGCATTTGTATGGCAATTTAATTTTCAAAACAATCTACATATATTGATCCTTACAACCCTGTGGATTAGGGGTTATTATTAACCTTATTTTCCAGACAAGGAAACTGAGGCTGAGAAGTTAAGTGACTTTCCTGAGTCACACAGCTATAAGTGTCTGCAGCTGGGATTTGAGCTCAGGTCTTTCTGACTCCAAGCCCAAAGCATTTCAATCTCCTTAAAATGATTATGGACTTGTTATAACTGTGGTTGATTCAGTCCTGGTTTTACAGCCTTCTGTGATTAATTGGAATTGGAAGTTGGAATCCTACTTTTACATATAAAGGATGATAATACCTGACCTTCCTCCAAAAAAGAAACTGGACCAGTTGATCTCTAGAGGTTCCTCCTCTAAAATTCAATGGCAGTAGCTCAACTAGAAATATTCAAAGCAAACTCAGAGAAGAGGATTGTGGAATAGAAAATATTGTAGAAAAAGAGATTAGAACTACTAGCATTCCCAGTATTTTGGGTGAGGTGAATATCATTATACTTTAAAGGTCCAAAATTAATTTTTAAAGAATTAAGTAATTACAACAGTGATATTCATAAAATACATAGTTTAAGCTGATTGCCAAGTCCTCTTATCTAATTACCCAAGAAGTGGTGGAGTATTCATTAAATAATTTTAAAATTTGCTTTAATCGAATACCACTATTGTTTCCCATACTGTTTCCTAGTAGAGTTATACCAAAAGCTTTTAACAAATAAACCAGAGCTAGGAAACACCAACTAGGAAAAAAAAACCCGAAGTGTTATATTAGATGTTTTATCCAAAACCCTTTGAACAAGGAGGCAAAATTCAAAGTTTATTTTCATAATCTATTGCCATTTACTATAAAACATCTGGGGTGGGTGTGTGTGTGTGTGTGTGTGTGTGTGTGTGTGTGAAAAAGTCTGGGAGGGGCATAATCTACAGAGGCCCCTCCTGTTCCATTGATAACACGTTCATTCACAGTGAGCCCTTCTAAAACAGGCTAATCCCCCAGGCGGACATTCACACTACCCTAATAGGCTCCTCACCTCAAGCAGAGCTCGGTAAGTTCAAAGTACTAGAAAACGTGGATATTTGCTAGAAATTCTAGGATTGCTTTGTGGAGAGGGGGAAGAGAAGAAGTTTAATTAATTGGCCAGGTACCGTACTTTTTCTCACGTTCCGTGACTCCTAGCAGGGGCTCTCTACACAAAGGATTTCAAAGGATATATAGCAATTTTCTTGCAAGGAAGATCAATTGAGTAGCTGGGAGGTAGACCTTGGGGAAGGGTGGTGCTGATTGTGGAGGGAGGTTCAGCTGGACCTTAGACCCCTAAGTCACTTCGGTGTCACAGGTGCACTAGTGGAGGCGGAGTTCCCAGGCTACTCAGAACCCCCAGCCCACGGACATGGGTCCCTAATGGGACTAAGTAAGCTGGGGGGGGGAGCGGAGAGGGGGTTGAGAAGGGAGGGCTCTGTTAGGCTTTGAGTTCTCCTGGTTAAGCCGCCTTGCTGTCTGTGTCTCTGGCCACAGGTCCTGGGGATGCTCTTTGCAGATCCACTCCTCTGCTGAAGCTGTCTAGGTCACTGAATGCCCGGAGCATCTCAAAGCGGCAGAGATCCCAGGCAATGAGGTTTTCCAGGCTGTCTTTCCCCATTCTGCTCCTCGGCTGCTGCCTCCTCGGGGCATCGACAGCCAGGAAGAACAAGGACAGCGCACGGGGAGCGGCCGAGTCGGTCCCTGGCCCCACTGGGGGCTCCTCGGGTCGCTTCTCCAACCCCGAGCAGCATGCGTGCAGCTGGCAGATCCTGCTGCCGGCCCCCGGAGACTCATCCGCTATGGGTGCCGAGGGAACCGGCGCGGGCAGCGAGCTCGCGGTAAGCTGCCAGAGCCCAAACGGCTCGCGCTACCAGTGCGCCTATCGAGGAGAGCCGCAGCGCTGCGCAGCGTACAACGCCCGCGGTCCGCAGTACTGGAAGCAGGTGGTGGGGAAGCTGAGGAAGAAGAGGCGGCCCTGTCACGACCCAGCTCCGCTCAAAGCTCGGCTTTGTGGCGGCAAGAAGGGACAAGGGGCTGAGCTCCACCTGGTGACCCGGCCGCTCGACGCCTCCAGTGCCGGGGCCAGCTCGGCCGCCACCGCGCTCCCCGGCGAGGGCAAGGGCAAGAACAAGGGCCGCACAAGGGGCCTGAGTCGTGCCCGGGAGCCCGCCCGCGGAACTGAGCAGGGAGTGAATCTTCCCCGAGCCCCGCCGCCGTCGGGGACCTCGGCTCTGGGAGGCGTGGCCAAAGAGAAGGGTCCTGGGAAGAAGGGCAACGGGGGCAAACGCAAAGAGACCCCGCCATCGGACGAGGAGAGGCCCATGGAAGCTGGGCCCGCCCCGGGGGGCCCGTTGGAGTTTAACGAAGAGTTGACAGAAACCTACTGCGCAGAAAAGTGGCACTCGCTGTGCAATTTCTTCGTCAACTTCTGGAATGGCTGATCCGAAATACGGCTCCGGGGGGGGGGGGGGGGAGAAAGGGGGCCTGCAAAGGGAGTGATTGAGAAGGGGTGGGGCCGATTAGGGAAGAGTCCCCAGGGCAACAGTAGAAGAATGAGTCGGGAAAATGGGAATAAGCACAGAAGAGCTCAGGTTCTAGTCTGGGGAGTTTGGGATGAGGGAAAAGAGGATGGAAGGGGTTATTGTTAGGGAATTTAAAGATGTGAAGGTTTGGGACCCTAGCAACATGGTGTGGAGAACAAAACCAAATATATATCTCTATACATCTCCATAAATATATATCTTAATAGAGATACGGAGAACTAAATACATATGTCTATAATCTCCATGAGATATATCTATATGGATATATATCGAAATATATAGAGTTGCCTAAGGGCAGTGAGAAGTTAAGTAGCATGTTCATGGTTATACATCTAGTCCGTGTGCAGAGACACGACATGAGCCCAGGTCTTCCTACTCCAAGGCTGACGTTCTGTCTGTTATATCATGCTACCTTTTATGAACCACACATAAATACACATATACATATATATGTATATACACACACCTGCAGTGTTGTACATCTTGGAGTCTGTGAGAGGTTTGCAGATCTAAGTGGATACAGTGGGGATGAGAAAATCATTGGGAGTGTGGTAATATTTGTAAGAAGTAGATTTTTAACTGAGGGCAGAGGGAATGGAGGTGCAGAAGTGGGCATACCATAGCTATGCAGAAATGCATAAATTAGAGGGAGAGACTAGACAGGTTAGCAAGAAGTTATATGAATAAGGAGTGGTGGGATTGTGGGTCAAAATGTATATTTTATAACTCATATTTGTACTAAAACCACATCAAAAAACATCTTCCAGCCTGGACCAGGGTGGAGTATTCAAAATATCTCTATAGCTATCAGCTAACAGAGTTGGCCATTTTTCTTCCTTAGTTAAACTTGAATGCACATGCAAGTCAGTACCACAGAATTCTAAGGGGGGACTCAGAGGCATAAGAAGGGTGAAACAAGTGAGACACTTGCCTCAAAACTAAGGGGGCACAGAAAAATCAATAAAATATGTGTCTATTATCTTAAGCACACTCTGCCTTTAGGATAGGTAGCAGCAATTTTATATTCTTGTGTTGATACAAAATTATCTTTTATAAGTCATACAAAGATCAAGGAGCTTCCAAGGAAAGAGTCAGTCTTATTGGTTACTTTTCAGTATAGTCTTGTACCTTCTTTAAAATAAGAGATGGCTTTATGGTCTGGAGCATTTCTAATTTATATCCTACATTCGGGGTTACTTTGTAGAGGCTGGATACCCCAAGCAGTTATAATAGGTGTGACTTTTTGCAAGCCTCTCCATTTGTACTTGGTCCTATTAAAGAACTGGTTAAAATTTGTGTATGTGTCTCAGAGTCATTTGGACCCTTTGAGAAAGCTGTTATCTCCCAGGACAAACTTTTATTACCAAAGTCAAAATATATAAAAGTGCTGATTCACAACACTACACGAATCCCACTTGAGAAGTGAAGCAGTTTTCCTGAATCTTGTATGTGTATTTTAAAGCTATTGCTATAATGGTAAAGAAAAAACAAACCCCCAAAACAAAAACAAAAGCCCCTCACAATCAAATAGTTACTAGATAAAATTTAAAGGAAAAAATGAGATTTTACCTAACCTGAAAGTCCTATATTCTCCATTATCAAAATTTGCACTGTAACTCATTTAGGTATATATCCAGAAAGTCTGGACTGAAGCTGACAAAGGTCTTAAGCAACTGGACATCAACTCCCCATCCCATGGCTGTTACGGGCAGTAAGTACTTTATAGGTAATTAGGGAAAAGAGTAGGTTTTGGTCTGTAAAATTGCTTTGCTATGTTATAAGACCTCTGTGTATATATAGAAATATATATATGATATGTATATTTCTACATGCATGCTGTATATATACATACATATATATACACACTTCTTGATGTAGTCACATATATGTATGTATATCTAGACACACACACACACACAGACAATTACCCTTGGTTTAATAAATCCTATAGGCATTTATGTAAGTTAGTATAATACTTTTACTTTGTAAGAAAGGATTATGTTATCCTCAAAGATATAATGGAAATCAAGGGATCTGACTTCTAGGTCTAACCCTGCCCACTAATTGGCTTTGTGAGCACTGGATTTAGAGTCAGATTTGAGGTTTAAATCTTTGCTCTGCTCCTTAATACCTGGAGCACTCTCTGAGCATAGCTCTAAGCAGCATTTCTAAATTTATGATCCTTTGACCTTTGTCAAATTGCTTAACTTGTCCCAAGATCATATAGTCCAACATTCTCATCTATAAAACAAGGATCTTGGACTAGATGAATTCTAACTGCCCTTCCAACTTTAAAATTCTACATTTCATGTATATGTAGGATTGTAAAGATGTTTAACCAATACAAAACTATTTATTGTTATGATAAGAAGACCAAAAAATGTGTTTAGGCTACAAGCATTGACTTATGTGTAGAGGGATGCTTGCCAAACATGACACTACTTTAGAATATTAGTTCATTTATAAAATCTTATCAAAAAAATGATAGGAAATTGTGATATATACACTTCTTGATGTATTTACATATGTGTATGTATATCTAGACACACACCTCATAATGCAGAGAAAAACAGTGAAGGGTAAAGCTAGTTTAAAGAAAGCTTGGTGAGAGACCCAACTAAACAAAGTCATCCCAGGGGCTTTTAAAAATGAAAAAATGAAAATTAAAGGACAACAAATGGAAGAAAAATAGAAAAGGTCTATAAAAATAGTATAACAAACTTTTCATGTGTAAAGACAATAGTGTTACCACCCTTGGATTCTAATACATTTGTTCCTTCTGTGCTTATAGAGTATTTAGAAATGACACTGAAGAAAACAAATAGAAAAAGACTAAGTGCACATAGAGAAGATCCATGCTGGAAGCAATACATTTGTGAGGGAATCCAAGGCTCTATTCCAAAGGAAGAGATAAGAAAGGCATGGAAAAAATTCTTGGACTTTATAAATACTGAAACAAGGTAACCACTGACCTATGTACTTACATACTTTCCCTTGCTATGTCAAATTTTTATGAGAATCATCCCCACACTGATATAGGGCATCTTAGAAAAAGGATGCTAAAGGGAAAGAGGCAAGCTTTCACAAGTAATATTCCCCATCTTTTTTTGTTGTTGTTTTAGTTGTTTCTGACTCTCCATGAGCCTTTTTGGAGTTTTCTGGGCAAAGATACTGGAGTAGTTTGCCATTGCCTTCTCTAGCTCATTTTACAGATGAGGAAATTGAGGCAAACAGGCTTATCAGGTTCACAGCTAGGAGGTATCTGAGGCCAGATTTGAACTTGGGTAGATGAGTCTTCCTGACTCCAGGCTAGGTGTTGTATCCACTTTGCCACTAAGCTGCCCATTTCACATCTTGACGATTATACAACTGAGACATGTAGAGATATAAGATTCCATAGTATTTATTATCTGTTGATTTTTTAACTTAGTCTTTCTAATTACTTGGGGACACTTGAGGGACATACCAAACATCACACAATTAGTATCTATTGGGGCAGGATTGGAACCAAGAACTCGTCTGCCTGTTCTTTTGTAATTTAAAAAAGTAATTTTGCTGACTAAGCCCTACCATTTTCCTACAACTTGTATTTATGACTTCAACATTGTGTCTTGATTAATTTCAGCATGGGAAGATCAAGTTGTACTTTTAGTACTATATGTAATAAGTCCAACATTTTAAGTTATACTAATCATCCATTTTATGTTTTCATGACAAATTTTTAAAAATCCCAGCATAACAGTTAAATAAAACCAATTGACATACCAACCCTGTATGCCAGCATATGTGATATTCCAACCCCATGTTCTCCCCACCTCTCTAGTGAAAGGAGGGAGGTGCATTTCTTCATCTCTTTTTTCAGGCCAAGATTAGTCATTACAATTACATAGTGTTCAGTTTTATTTTATTGATCTTTTTATATTGTAATCATTGTGCATGTTATTTTTCTGGTTCTGCTTACTTTACTTTGCATCAGTTAGTAAAAGTCTTTTCATGTTTCTCTAAATTCCTCGTATTCACAATTTCTTGTGTGTGATAGTATTCCATTACATTCATATACCACATGACTAAATATACCTCAAAGCAGCTTCCACCAATTATATATGCATACATACACACATATGTATATATAACACACATATACAGATATACACCTGTATTTATTCACTTGATCCTTCTAGTTAATTAATTAACAGTGTGCTCCTTGGAAAAAAAAAGAGGATCATCATAGCTTCTGCCCAGCTGAAGAACAGAGCCATTTTGCATGGATTGAAATCTGAATTTTACCTGGATGTACCTTCCAAGAAAAGGGGGAAGGGAGATCTGCAAATGTTGAAGGAGGCCTCTATAAGATTTGATGTCAAGTGCAGTAAAGCAGCTGTTGGGAGAGGACACCTGATATAATGGTTACAGAGTTGGCCTTGGAGTCAGGAAGACTTGCATTCCAGTCCTGCATCTGACATATATTGGTTGTATGAGCCTTGAGAAGGCTTAACCTCTATATACTACAAGCAACTCTAAGTTGTCCAACAGTTGGTAAAGATTAGCTTTGGCACAGGGATGTTCCTTATTGGAGCTCCTGTATCAAGAAAAGATCTAGAACCTTATCCCCACCCCTAACAATAACAAAAAAGCAGATAGTAGGAAAGGCCATGGGAATACTTCACATTGATGCCATTTATCCAGACATTGATGTCATTTATATGCTAGGCACTAATGCTAGGCACTTTAACTTAATGCCTGACTGATTCTATGTGACTATGATTCTATGGCTTTGCTCCTGGGAAGCAATGATTCAGTTCTAAAATCTGTTCCAACCTAACAACACAGCTGCTATGGCATCATTCGGTGGACATTTTGACTGGATTTCTAGGATTATGGAGACATAACCCTCACCTACTAAGT